GGGGGGCAGGTCTTCAAGGGGGCCCGGTTTCCTCGGGGCGCTCCACGGGTGGGGTGTCGGATTCAAGCCCCTGCACCTTTCCTCCTTCTCTCGTCGCCCTCTCTCAGTCCCTTCTCCGGCCCTCCCTCGACCCCCCCCCCCCTCTCTCCCTCCCTCTTGCTTCTCCTCCCTCCATTGCCCCCCTCTCTGCCCCCCTTCGTACCCTTCACGCCAGCACGCGAGCCAGTTCGCCGCCGATCCGGGTGCACTCCCTTCCGAGATGGCGGCTCCTCGCACAAATCCCGGGCGGTCTGGCTCTCTGACGCGCCCGGCCGATGACCACTCGGCCCCATTTGCCTCGTTGGCATCGAAAATGCGCCAGCTCCACTTTGCCCTGACATCGTCCGGCATTGCGGAGCAGGCCCATTTGGAGCAGAACCTCCTGGAGGTGGTTGGTTATTTCGCCTCGCGCCGGGCCGCCGGCGATACCAGCCATTCGACGGCCTTCCTGGCCGCAGTGGCCACCACCACCGACCTGAATGGCACCCCGGGCGCTGGGTCGAACGCTGATGCCGGTTCCCGGCCCTCCAACTCGATGATGCTCATTCAACTCTGCCGTGGCGTGGTCATCCTCCTGACGGACTACCTCGAGTGCGTCTTCCGATCGGGGATCTTCCCTCGGATGTGTCCATTTCGCCCGCCTTCCCGCCCTCTTCGCTAATCTTCCTGGCCTTTTGCATCTGTCCCTCCATTCTCTGGCTACACTTTTTGCCCTTCTCTTCGCACCAATTCAAAAGCTCCGGTCCTGGAACTACTGGTCCTGCACCCGGGTCGATTGCCGGGGCCGACGGCTTCCCCACCTCGGCCGGTAACCCCCCCAAGCCTCGGGAATCCGATCGGGCGCTACTCATGGAATCCCTCGACCTGGCGGTGTCATGCCTACTTCGTGCTCATCGCTCAGAGGACATCTCTGTCCGGCTGGCCGCCACCCAATGTCTCTCCATCCTTGGGCGTCGCCTCTCCCAGACATATACGGTTTCCTTCTTGACCACCCTGATCAAGGAATTCCGCGTGCGTTTCCATTGGCCTGAGATTGGCCCTGCATGCTCGGCACGCCGGCCTCCTTGGCATTTGGGGTCTCCTCCGGCCCCCCTCTTACATGAAATCCCACACACGCACGCCAGCGGACTTCCCCCTCTCGCATGGCCCGTGCCATCCTCAGCCTGCTGTCCTCCATCCTTTGGACCATCGACCCGATGCCGATTACCAGCCTCTCCGACGCGTCAAACTTCCTGCTGGAGCACTCCCCCATCAATCCTCGCCCCCCGGCGCCGAATCGTCCACGCCCTCCGCCCAGCCTTACCTTCCGAACGGCCTCCATGATTACCCCGCAGCTGATTCGCTTCTTCTCCCTCACCTCGGACACAGCTCTCCAAGTGCGCTCCCTCTTCTCCTTCTCCTTCCCCTCCTCCTCCTTCTCCTCGTTCTTCATCTCCCGGGATTCAGCACTCCATTCCCCCCCCCTGCAATGGAGCATCTCCTCCCCTTGTCTGTCATCCCATCATCTGATCACCCCCCCCCCCTCCCCGCTCCCTGCCCCGGTTGCTCTCCCACTCTCCTCAGGAGACCCTCGGCTCGGCCGGACCAAGCATCTTTGCCTTCTTCCGTGGCTACTTCTCGATGATCCCCTGCCCTACGCGCTTTGCCCTTCGCCCGGCAGCCAGCGCCGGCTCCGAGCCCGAGGAGGAGGTTGCCACCCAGCTCGCGGCCAGCGCGCAACCGGTCTCCTGCATGCCACTCCTGAGTGCCCTCACCCAGTCGCTTTTCCTGTCGTCAGCCAATCCGGCGGTCTTGCGCACGGCCGTCGATTCGTTGGCGGCCTTTGCCTTGGCGGCATCCTTCCTGCCGGAAGATCACCCCCAGATGCCGACCTGCGGCGGATGGTCCCCGGTCGCTTGCTCTACCGGGCGCCTGGTTGACATCCTCCTGGAGTCCTGCCTGCCAATGCTGGATGGGCATATCCTTGGCGTGCTGTTGCCTGACTCCCCGGCTGCCGAGAAGGATCCCCTGCCCGAGTATGTGACTCGGGCTCTCCATCCGGATGATGGATCAGCCGATCGCCTGACTATTGGCTGCTTGGACCTGCTGGCCGCCAGCCCGAGCAGTCCGCCAGATAGCCCCGCCGACTCGGCGGCTTCCACCGCCTCCAGTGCCAGCGTGGCCGTGATTAGCTCGCACTTGCGCGCGGTGCGCGCCGTTGTCGACATCGGAGCGGCTTCAATCGTGGCCGCCCTCGAGTGTGGTGCCTCGGCCGATGCTCTGGCCCTCGGGGCTTCTCCCCCTTCGGATGATGGGCAAATCCTCACTTGGCTCCGCCTGGTCGGCGTCCAGGCCGGTGCCGATCCGACCGAATGCCAATGGCCACGACGCCTGGCGGCCCTCTTGCGCCTGGCGCAAGGCCTGTTGATGGATTTGCGCCTGGCCTCCGCGGCTCTGGATCTCCTGCTCACAATCTTGTCCCTGCTGGCGGTGCTGGATCCCGCCGGAGCGCCAGCCCGCACGGCTCTGACCGCCTGGCAGGGGGCTCCCCTCGGCCCGGGGCTCCTGGCTCGACGCTTGGCACAATTGGCCGGGGCCGATGCACCAGGGACCTTCATCTCCGTGGGTGTCGATCGTCCGGTGGTTCGGTTCCCTCGACTCCCGGTGCCGGCTCGTGTGCGAGCTCTCCAATGCCTGGCGACCCTCGCGGCACGGTGGCCCACAGACACCCTGGGCGGAGCCCCGGACGGAGCCCCTCCCCTGGCACTCCTTCGGCCGATGCTGGGAGTCGGTGATCCCCTGCTGGTGGGGCGCCTGTGCACGGTGTACGGCGCCGCCCTGACCGGCCAGTTGGCCGTCCTGTCCGAGCGGTACACCGCCGCCGGGAGCACCGGCATTGCCGCTCTCCCGGCCTGGATCGAGCCGGTCGGAGTCTTCCTATCGACGGCCGCACGCGGTCTTGCCAATGCCGGCTTCTCTGGGGCCGGGACACTGCCGGCGTGGCTCGACCCCGGCCCAATCGGCGCCGGGAACTTGGCCGAATCCTTGGCGGACCCGGTCTGTCAGCGCTTGGTGTTGGCTGCCTGTGGCCGGGCCACGCGTGCCATTCTCCGGACTCTGGCCGTCCTCGGGCCTACCTCGACCGTTTCTTCCCCGCCGGACACCATTCATCGGGTGCTCCTGAGCCTGCTGCTCCATTTGCTCGCCTCGGCCATTTGGGTGTTGGATGCCTCCTCCGATCAGGGCACCTACTGGCTTGTGATCAGCGAGGCGGTCGACCTTCTCAGCCGCATGGACTGGGGGTGCGTACAGCCGGTCAACTGCTTGGCACCGGTTATGGCAATAATGCCACCCGCCCCCCCCCCCCAAAACCACCCCTGCCCTTTCTTCATTCCACTGACCCCCTCGCACCGGCCAGCCTTCTTGGAGTCCTCCTTCCGGACCACCTGTCAGAAGTGGAGCAGCTGAATGAACGCGCTCTGACGGCTCTGCTCCGGTTGCACTTGCGAGCCCCGCGCGCGCGTGGGGCCACCCCTCGCCATCGCGCCATCCTCCAGGTTGGCATCTTTGTCCATGTGTCAGCCGGCCAGACTGCCCAGCTGGATGGCCATGCCCCCCTGCAGGAGACCCTTCTTCGTCAGTACCAGCACCGCGCCGGGGCTTTGGTGGCCGGACTGCTGGCCCAGGTGCAAGATCGCCGAGTGGAAGACGGCCCGCGCGAGTCAGCCGGGCTCTTCCTCCGCCTGGTGGATCTGTTGCTGAGCCTGGCCACCGCGGTGCCAGCCGGCCCGGGGGCTCCCGATGAGCCCACCCCCCCGGCTGCCGGTCGGTCGCCGCACCTCCCTCCTGGCCTGGGGCACTCCCTCTGGCGGGGGACCCTGGCTTCGATGGCACGTCATGGCCGATGCCTTCGTGCCAGTGGTCCTCTCGCCGGGCAGCCGATTTCCCCCGGGGTGACGCCGCTTGCGGTGCACCTGTCACCATTGGCCGATGAGTCGCCGATTTTGGCCACCGGCGATCGGGCCCTCCTCCGCGCGCTGGCAGCTCTGCACGATGACCCGAGCCTGGCCAGCTTTGGGCAAAACACGGCCGAGGGCCTCCCGCTGTTGTCCTCCGGCGTGGCATCTGGCCTTGGGGCGGCCGGCGCCGCGGCCGACGCCGACGCCGACCCGCCGCTGGCTTTCCATCCGGCCTTCCTTCGTGCCCTGCCGGCCATCTTCGCCGACATCGCCCCGGGCCAGTCGGCCTCCTTCCTGGCGTGTCCACCTCCTGGCGCCGACCCGACGGCCACCCGCACCCTGGCGCACTTCTGCCTCAGCCTGCTTGCCGGGTCGCTGCAGGCGGATTTGGCCGTGTCAGCTTTCGGGTCGTCCCTCCGATCGGCCGACGGCGTCATGTCCGACGGCCCGGTTCTGGCCGTCACTCTCAGCCTGGAAGACCATGTGGCCCTGATGCGCCTGCTGCTGGCTCTCTCGGCTGGGGGCTTGCGCCGGGTTGGGAGTTCGGCTCTTCGGGATCTTCCCTCACGGACGTGGCTTTGGCCCTTCTTCCGGTACTGCGTGCACCTGCTGCGTGCGGCGGCGGATGTCATCCGCGAGCCGCTGTCCACTTCGGTCATCCAGCCAGGGGGCAATGGCTCGACCGGGGGCCCTGCCACCGGATCGGGGGCCAACGCCGCCGGGGCTTCGGCGGCCGGTGGCATCGGTACCACTGGCTCCTCGGTCCCGGCCTCCAGCCAGGTGACCTATGCCATGGGCCCGGGAGCCATGCATCCCGGGGCCGGCCCCACCTCCTCCCTGTTATTGGTACACTCGTATCAGGCTCATGGCGGTGCGGTGGGCACCGGGCTTGGTGGTGTGTCGCTCCCGACCCTGGCCCCGGTGAATGCCACCGGGCTACCGGGGGCCCCGGTTCCCCCTGGCGGGCTGACGGTTCCCGGTGCCATCTCCTCCCTGGCGGCGTATCATGGCTATGGCCAGGCTGCCGGGTCGATCGCCATCGGCAACACCTCGTCCGGGTCTTGGCCTGAGGTGCCGGTGTCCTTTTCGGCCGGGATTCCAGCGGCCGAGGCGTCTCTCCGGCTGTCGTTCGCGGATTCCGAGCAGATGCCCATCCAGTCGCCCCCGCTGTTGGCCGTCCCGCTGGCCGGCGGACCGGGGTCCCTGCCGCCATTGCCGACGGCCTCGGGCAGCGGTGGGTCTGCTGGCAGTGGACCCGCCGGCGCCAGCGGCGGCTCCATTCCCCCACGGGCGGCAGCCTCGTCGCTGGAAACCCACCGACGCCTGTCGCAGTCCATCGCCGCGGCCTATCGCACCTGGTATGCGAAGTTCATCCCTGCCGCCGGACGGACGGCCGGCCTGGAAGACGCGCGCGATCCCTTCCTGCACTTGGTGACCACGGTGGCCGGCTGTCTGTCGTGCCTGATTCCGGAGCTCCTGTGCGAGCAGGAACGCCTGCGAGAGCAGGAGCACCGCCGTCGCCAGCACCACCGGTCGGCGGCAGCTGGCGACAGGCGCGCCGACTCGACTCAGCGCCCGGCCCCCACGGCGCCTGGCAGCCCGGCCGAAGATATTTCCCTCTACTCGCGGTCACTGCTGTCCGATGCGCAGAGTCTCGCACGCATTGCCCCGGCCGCCTGCGGGTCTGTCATTTCCGTGCTCTTGGCCATGGCCAGCAGCCCGGGACCCGGCTCGCGCGGGTCCGCCTCCGGCAGCCCGGCCGATGGGGCCACGCCGGAGTTGGCCCTCGGCCGGCGTACCGCCGCCATGTATCTTCCCCCCTCGGCCAGGTCGGCCTTCATGGCCATGACCGCTGCCGGTCAGCCGCTTTACTTCGAGGGCATCTTCGATTCGGCTCTCCCCAGCGGCGGGGCCGCGGCTGCCCTGCAAGGGGTTTTGCAAGCGGCCGAAGCCCAGGCCGGCGCCTCTGCCATTCGGCATTTGGCTTTGGACCCGGATGATCGCATGGATTTGGTCCCCTATGCCGGGGGTGTGGACATCGGGTCCTTCGAAAAGGTCATCGTGCAGTTCATGCACATCTTCCCCCAATTGGGATCCTTCCGCCGGGGCCCGGAGCTGGCCACGCCTCGGCGTGTGTCGCTGCTGCTCGTGCGCCAGGCCCTGCGCGCCCGGGTGGACATCATCAATCCGGCCTTCGCCGACGCCCTGCTGGTGGAGCTCCACAAGTTGGGCCTCGTGTCAGCGGCCGGCTGGCTGACCGGCTGGCGCGGCCCGGTCCTGCTGTCCGGCGACCGGGTGACCGGTCTTCATTGGAGCCCGGCTGACGCGGCGGCCGGCCTGGCCGCCTGCCTGGCCGAGCTAACCTGTACGCTGCTTGCTCTGGGCCGGTACTGTTCCGTGGGGAATCTCCGACCGGAGTCCATCATTCAAGCCCTGGAGCTGGCATTGCAGCCACTTCGCCCGGCCACCGGGGATTGGAAGACCGGCCTGGCGCCAGGTGGCCTGGCTGGCGCTCTCTGCCCGGGGGACACCTGCCGTGCCACCGCCGGCGACGCGGGCTCCGGGGCCTGGTGCGCTGCCCTGTTTGCCACCCTGCTGCCGGTTTACTCGCTATATCTGCTGCTGCTGTCAAGCAGTCCGGACACCTGGCCCGGGGGGTGGGCTCGGCCGGTCGGCGGGGCCGCCGACACGACCGTTCCCCAGGATGCGGTCTTTCCCTTTGGCTCGCTGGTTCGCCTGCGCGAGGTCTGCCGGCAGATGTTGTCCCTCTGCACATGCTCCATCGGGGCTGGGGCCCTGTTGTATTTGGCGGACTTGCCGCTGCCCGCCCGGCCGCGGTTGGAGGAAATCCGCCAAGCCAGCACGGCCGCCAGGCAGCTCGACCCCTCCGGCCAGCTGGAGCCCAGCTTCTCCCTGGTTGAGGCGAGCCAGTGGTTCCTCCGTGCAATTAGACCCCCCTCCGACGGGTCGGTTGGCATGATGTCGGCCGCGTCCGAGCGCGCCGCCTGGCGTGACACCATGCTGCGCCTGGGCCGGTTGTGCTTCGGCCGGACGGCCCCGGCCCCGCTGGCGGATGCCTGGCGCTCGGCCGTGCGCACTGGGGCCCAGGATTCCGCGCATGTGCTTTCCGAGCTTCTGGCCGAGGCCGTGGACGCCGGGCATCGGCTGGACCTTGCCAGTGCCCAGGGCCCGGCCGCTGCTGCTGCTGCTGCTGCTGCTGCTGCTGATGCTCCCGGCTCGGCCGATGCACATGGCCGCCCCTCATTTGCCTGGTGGTTGCTGATGGCCGCGCAGGCCGGTGTGGATGTCGGCGTTCTGCGGCGATTGGCCGCCAAACACCCGAATCCCGGCGGCCTGTCCTCGTCGATGGACCACGCGGCTGCCAAGCAAGCCTGTCGCGCCATCTTGGCCAGAGCCGGTCCGGCCACCGGCTCGCCACTTGTACACTGGGCCAGATTGGCAGCACATGCTGGCATCCCCCTGGGCCAGGCCATGCGCATTCTGGCAGCCGAGGCTGGCAAGCGTCCCGGGACACACTGGCTCCTGATGCTGCGTGCCTGGCTGCGCGAGGCACGGTCCCGACTCCTGCTCGAGGGCGGTCCCCTGAACTTGCCGAGCACCGCCTCTTACTCGGATGTGGCGGCCCTTTTGACGCGTGACCACATTGGCGAGGAGGCGCCCCTGCTGGCGGCCCTGTCGACCGCCTGGGCCACGGCCCCCGAGCAGGCCCCCTGCCCAGCTACTTGCGAGGCTGTGACCTTGCTCCTGCGGCTTCGCCCTGGCGCCGGGATGGTCACTGCCGATGCGCGTCTTGACCAGCTGCTGGCACTGAGCTTCCTGCCATCGGTGGACCTTGTCGCCGTGATGGATGCCATGCTGCCCGGGGAGGGTGCCCCTCCTGACCCGGCGGCCGGCTTGGCCACCCTGCTAGCCACCAGCTTCGGCCCATTCCACCGCACCCTCAAGGCCCACTATCAGGCGCGAGCCTCCGACTCGGCTTGCCCGGAGCCCGGGCCGGTTGTCCCCCTGCTCGAGGCGGCTCTTCACCTTCGGCAGACGCTTGGTGGCCGTCTGCCTGGCGAGCGTTCGGCTCTTTGTGCTGATATGGACGCCCGGCTGGCGGCTCGGCTGCCCGGGCCCAAGCCCTCGCCGGGCACTGCGGCCCAGGCGGCCAGCTCGCCCCAGGCCGCGAGCCTGCTGAGTGCGCGCCCCTGCATGGCGGCCAGCTTGGGCACTTCGGCCGCCTGCCAGCTGTCCGACCCGGACCCCGCCTGTGGGCTGTGTCTCGGTGGCCGCGCCAGTACCATGGTCCGGCGGCTGCTTGGCAGCACTCCCCAGGCGGATGCGGCCCTGGACTTGACTCTGTTGCATGTGGCCCTGCTCCAGGGCAGCCGTGACGCCCTGCACCCCGCGCGCAATGTGCTCCCGGATGTCGACGGCCCCGGCGCCAGCATTCCCCTCTGGCTACGGGCGGCCCTGCAGCGTCTCCTCGAGGCGGTGGCCCTGTTCAATGAGGGCGCCACAAGCTTGGCGGCAGCGGCCCCGGCCGGCCAGCTGGCCGCGCAGTTGCATGATGTCCTGCGAGACCCGGTGCTTGGTCGCCTCATCGACCGGGTGATCAGCCTGCTCGGGGCCATGCTGCACCTGTTCCCTGGCTGGTGGACGGCCCACGAGCGGGCCAGCTGCCTGCGCTTCTGTGCAACCTTCTCCTTGGGACCGGCTTCCGGGCCGGTTGACCTGGCCTCCGCCGGGCAATCACTGCTCCTGGGCAGTCTGCTTGTGGCAACCGCCTGTGCGGACCACTCGGCTGGCGACCTGGACGCCGGGCATCTGGGCAACAGCTTCTACCTGGACACTTCCATGCGAGCCTTCAGCCAGGCTGGCCGGCGCTTGTGCCCGGAATTGGCCACCCATCTGCCGGCCCTGGAGCTCCCCCCTGTGGGGGACCTGCTGGGGAGGCGCTTTGCCAATGCCCTGGCCCCCCTGCACCGGGACCGGGCCTGGCTCGGCGGCCTGGCAGCCGCCTGCTATGTGGCATATGGTGCGGATGCCGGCGTGGCCGGTCTCGGCCAGGCGACAAGCTCGCCCCTGGCCGGGGCGCACCCCCTCTCCCGGCGCCTGTTGGCCGGGTGTGCACGCTGGGCCAGCCCGGCCCTCGTGGCCCTGATCCTCGGGCTGGGCCATGTCCCTCAGTTTGGACTGGCCATGGACGACATGCCCGGCTCTGCCACCGGGTCGGACTACATTCGCGCCTGGCACCCGGCCAACATCGCGCAAACCGCCTCGGAGCTGGGCCCGGCCGCCATGTATGACGAGCCGTCGGCCATGGTCGGCGGCGATGAAGCCGGCCCCGGGGGCTCGGACCATCAGGATCCGGCCGCGGGGCTGCCCTTCCTCCCTCGAGGGGCTCGTGTCCCTGTGGATAACCCTTCCTTCCGGGGGCTGGCGCGCCTGCGAGCCCTGTCCGCGGTCTTTGCCCTGGCCGGCACGGCCGGCCCACTGCCCGGGCGTCTGTCGGCACTGGCCACCGGCAGGTCGGTGCCGGGTGGGGCGGATACCGGTCGCCGGGGATCGGCCCTCGCCGATGCGCCAGCCGGCCTGCTGGTATTGGATTCGCCTCCGCGCAGTCCGATCTCCGGGCCCACCACCCCGGCGTCCGCCCCGCCGAGGGTGTCCCAAGGCGACCGTGATCTCGGTGACTTGGCCACCGGGCTGGAGGCGTTGCAGCTGGCCCCCGGGGATTCACAGCCGGCGGTCTGTTTCTCCGATTCCGATGACCTGGGCACCGTGCCTCTCGCCGTCGGGTCGGACCTGGATCTGGCCATGTCACCTGATGGGTCGACTGGCGCGCGGCAACTGCTCCTTGGCATGCGTCCGGCCGTGGGGGCCCCCTCGGACACCGGCGACCTGGCGGCCGATGATGCCTCCGATGTCGGTCCGCTCGAATCCCCGGTCCTGGGGCGGCTGTCCGAGTCGCTGGACGCGCCGCGGCGCTCCTCGGCCGGCGCCTCGGCCTCCTACTGGATGGACATGGTCGAGCGTCGGCGCGCTGATGATGTGACAGGTGTATCTCCACCGGGGGTGGCATCTAGCGACAGCGTCCCGGCTGCCGGCACTCCTCCTGCCGGTGGCGCTTCCCGAGCGACGGGCACTTCGCCTGGCGCCCATGGCGCCTCCACCACCAGCAACGCCCCCGGCACCAGCGCCTCCCAGGTTGACCTTTGCCTGGTCCGAGCCCAGGGCCAACTTGCCACACTTCTGGCCTCGGAGGCCCCCTGCCCCGAGGTGGATGCGCTCCTCTGGCTGGCGGTGCCGGCCGGGCCGATCCCCGTGGACGCGGCCCTTCGGCTACTGGCCGCCTGCAGCCCGCCGCTGGCCGACGCCGATGATGGGGATCTTTTCTTCCAGCTGGACGCCCTCGGCTTCGACCGGTGGAACCGGCGCCTGGTTGATGACCGCTGGACCGCCCGGCGGCTGTTGCTGCACGCGGTGGCCAGCGTCCTCGGGACACACCATCGCGCGACGGTCGGCCTGCCCGGCCCCCTGCGCCTTGCCGGTGGCGCTTCGATCGATTGGGCCGATGCCGGCTTGGCCCCCGGCTGGCGGATCTATCAGCCGGCTCTCGACCGAGCCCTGCGCCACTTCTGCGATGTCCTGGCGGCCCCGGTGCTGGCAGCCACCACACCTCCGCATGCTCTGCACCAGCAGGCGGCCCTGGTGGCAGCGGCCTCGGCCGCGGCGGCCGCCGCCGCCGGCTCCACTTCCAACGCGGCCGACACAGCCAGTGGCCTCCTCTCCTCGGCCAGCTCGATGTACAGCTCCGCTGGCGGGTCCTTCCTGGCCGGTGGCGCTGCCACCATGCACGGTGCTGGTGGGGAATTCCCCCCCAGCCACAAGGTCCCCCCCGGCGGAGGGGCCCCCGAGGAGTCCACCCTCGCCGGTGATGAGCCCACCCTGGAGCATCTCCTCCGGTATGCGGCAGGTCGGCGGGCCTTCGACCAGGACCTCCTCCGGCGAACAACCCTCCAATGTACCGGCCGGCTGGCGGAGCTGCTCTTCGACCCTGGCCCAGCCGGGACCCCGGGGCTGCCGCTGTGTGGTCGGCGCTACGCCCGGATGGACATCATCCCCACCGGGCCCGGTTCGGACATGGCCGCCACCACTGGCCTCTATGATGATGCCACGGCCCCGTTGGCCGAGTGGGCCCTCAATGCCAGCCTTGGCATTTTGCGCCAGGCCGGCATGACCCTGCCGACCCCGTTCTCCAGCATGCTTTTCACGCCGGGCATCGTGTCTTCCCTGCAGGAGCTCCAGCGCCTGGAGGCCCATCCCCCCGGGGGGGCGGGCGCCGCCCCGGGGTCATCGGCCGCCGTGAGCCTCTTCGGCCCGTCGCCCCCGCCTGGGGGGGAGTATGTCGACCGAAATGTGTCGGTGTCTGGGGCCCCGGCGGCCGCGGCCTCGGCGGCCTTCGGATCCGGCGCCTCCCCCGGCCCGGCCCGGTTGCTGGTCAGCCTGGATGATGCGGAGGCCCTTGGCTGGCTGCTGCGCATCCTGCTGGCAGCCCTGCGCCGGACCGACCTGAGCCTGGACCAGCCGGGCAGCCAGCTTACCAAGACAGCTGGCATCTTCCGCGAGCTGGCCGCCGTATTGGACCGCGGCCTGCGCCATGCCCACCGCGGGGTGCAGCAATCCATCCTCGAGGGCAGCCTGGCCTTGCTGTTGGACGCGGCCAGCTTCCTGGGCCGGGCCCGTTGCAGTGATGGCTGCCAAACTGACCTGCTGGAGTCCGTGTCCCTGGCCAGTCGATGCCCGGCCGTGGCCGGCGGCGTGGTGGCCTGGTGGCTGGCCCCGCTGCTGAGCCTGCATTGCCGGCGGGAGGTGGGGGCCCTGCTCGGGGCCACCTTGGCCTCGGCCCGGTCTGACGGCGCCGCTCCCAGCCTGTGCGATGCTTTTGTGGGGCTGTCCCTACGGGCCACCTCCCTGGCCCTGGCTCTGGTGCCGGAGGCCTTCCGCGCGCCGGGGGCCATTGGCCTGTCGCCATATGCCGGGCTTGGAGCCGGGGCCGTGGAGTCTCTGGCCAAGCAGCTGTACGACCTGGCCGCCTGGGCCTGCAGCAGTGCCGGTGTCCAGTCGGCCCCCATGCGCCGGGGTCTCCTGCGACATGCCTTCGACTCGCTGGCCTTCCTGAGCATGGCCCGCTCACCAACGGTCCTGCAGTTGATCAAGTTCCATGCCCAGCGTTGTGCCACGCTCCTGACGGCCCTGAATTCGGAACCCCTGGCGGCCACCTCGGCCGCCGTTGCCCCCTCCTCGGCTCGTGGCCCGACGGGCCACAATGCCTGCCTGACATTGGCCCCGCGCGAGGCCCTGCGCTTCCTGGCCTGTCACTTGCGTTTCCTCACCTGCACCGAGGACCTGAGCGAGGTCCACCTGTCGGCCATGGAGAAGGTTTTGGTGCTGCTGAAGCATCTGCCCACGTTGCCGGTCCCGGCACGCGAGCACCTGGCCGCGGCCTTGCCCTACCTGCTCACCGGATCCGTGGCCGTGGGGGACCTCCACCGGTCGGTGGATGTGGACCTGCTGAGCATGACGGATCCCTTCCGCGCGCGAGGCATCGTCTCCTGGCTGCCCACCTCCCAGGCTCTGGCCACCGTGGTATCGTACATGTCACGGCATACGCTCGTCCTGCCGACCCCCAGCCCGTCCACCATGGCCAGCACTTCGGCCCCCTCCGGGCCCGGCTCCGATGACACCAGCACCACCTATTCGGCGCAATATGTACGAGCCGAGGCGTGCCGTTTGCTGTTCGACACTTGCGACCTGCTGCGACTGCGCAATGCCCATCCGGCGGCGCAGATGCAGCCACTGCGCGACCTGGCCCTGGACTTCCGCCTTCAGGGATACTGGCTGTGTCGGTCGGCCGGCGGATCGGAGGCTGGGGCCTTCGAGCTGGCGGGACCCGGTGCCGGCATCGCCGCCCCGGCCGCACCACTGCGCATTACCGACATCTGGCCCCTGGGCGCCTTTGACTCGACCCAGCCCCCGGCTGAGCAGCTGTACGGCCGCTTGCCGAAGTTCGGCCCCTTGCCGGTGACCCTGCGCGCGCACACGGCCGAGGGCAAGACCCTGCCGGTCGGGGCCGCTGGGGCCGGGGCCGCGGGCGCCAGTCACAGCCCCGATGTGGCGGCACACATCTTCAATTTCATCATCTCCGCCCAGGAGACCCTGACCCAGGCGGCCACCGGGCCGGCGGGACCGGCCGACATCCAGTGGCGCGTGAGTGCCGCACTCGCGGCCACCGTGGAGACCACCTCGGCGACGGCCATCTGCGCCGAGCCGGCCGCCGCACCGCCGGCGGTCGACCGCCCACGCCGGGTACATACGACCGGCGAGGGGCTTCGCGCGCGGCGGGCTTTCCTCCTGGCGGCCCTGAATGGGCAGCACTTCTTTGGCCAGGTCCCGGAAAGTGTTCCCGCGTCGGTGACCGCCGCCCTTGCTCAAAGCCGTGACAGTCGCCTGCGCTGACTCTTGTCAAGCTTGTCCCCCCCCCCCCTTTTTCATAGAGCCTGTCTCGTCCTTCGATCCGTCCCTCCTCCCCCGCATGCTTGCCCATGTCCCTATACATCCAGGTTGGTGAGGGAAAAAAAAAGGAGACAGTGAAACAAGGGGTCCATTGTATTTGCCAGCAAGGGGGAAGGGCAGTGCCAGACCAAGGGGCGAGAAGGGCCCCCCCCCC